ACAAGATAGAGCTATTTTCAGTTACGGGGTAGACTGTACTGACAACACAATAACAGTGCGGTTACTTGCTTTCTAAATTGTTTATGTGAGGCTTTGATAATTGTAGTAGTATTTCACAAATGAAATTTGTTGTGCTGAAATTAAAAATTAATTTAAAATGTAGTATTTCCATTGATATAGAATCAGCAAAACTCTTTAAACATTTCGAGTAATGCTCATACATAAATGAGAAACCACTTCGATAAAATAAATTAAGCATGGAATTATTTAGTAGTAAAAGCAAATTGAAAGGAACATTACCCAAAAAAACAAGGGCAAAGTTCATAAATAAGCAAAGAGTTGAAAAATTAGCATATGAAAGAGCAATCTTTCTGAAAAAAAAAAAAAAAGGAGCAAGCAAGACGGCATTGTTATAAGAGCAGGTTTTGTATACTCAGAGGAACTGGCCTCGAGAAGAGAAGGTTTGGCCAAACCACCAGGAAGAAGGGACAACGTTTAAAAATGTCATCGTTTTGCGATCGGGAAGAGTCACTCTGAAGGAGAGTCTCTGTCCCCGGAGATCGCCGGAGCTCTGCCAGTTTGCACCCCAATTACGAGTCATCTGAAGCCAAGTCTTTCCCTTTGAGCCTCTAACCGCAACCGCTTTCACCGCGCCGCTACCGCCAACGTTTGAGAGGATTACCATATTGAAATTCCCTTGCCCTCTCATCGTGAACCTCACACCTCCTCTTCTTTTGCATCCCACTCTATACAATCGTAAGAAAACAAAATTAGTAAGAGATTTTAGACAAAAAAACAAAAAAAGGGGAACAAAATTTTCCGTTTGTATATTTATATATATATGACCCGGTTTTGAGTTTTAAAAGACCGCAAGCAATTTTAACGAAAGTGTTTAAATGTTCTATCAAACAACATTTTTGCTATATTAGTTATGGGGTTAGATTGTTTGTTGTGTTTGCCTGCCTTCTATGTGTTGATATTTAATATAGACACAACGTTTTAATAACATAATTTATCAAACATCATTTATAAAAAGTCAATGCGAAGTAGAACATAATATATGTTACCGGCGGTAGAAGACGGGGACGATGCCTTCATTGCCGCGACGGGCGATGCGGAAGAAAGCGGGCATGGACATGTCGAAGTGGTGGCGAGGAAGATTGCACCAACCTCCATTATTGTTCGACGGACAGAAGTTTGTAGCCGTCACCGTCACGGCGGCTCCTCGGAGACACCACTTAGGATCCGCCCTACAGTCACACCTCACTTGGTAGCAACCACCGCATGACTCGCCGCTTCTGAATAGCGCACCGCTTAGCGCCGCCGTGTGAGCTCCGAATCCGGCGTGGAACGGATTGTCGTAACCACAAGCTCCTCCTATAAACATATATACATCAACATTCAATTATTTTTTTTACAGTTCAATTTTACTATACGAAAACTTAAGTACGAAATGAAAGTATTAATCTATAGTTTAATGGACTTATTACCAAGTGAAGCAGGGCTATCATTAACACCATAAAACGTTGCATGAGCCCTAACCCAACCATTGGAACACATCCCCACACTTAACGTACCAACCAAGAGAATAACCGTTAACCAACACTTCCCCTTCATCTCCTTAAAAATAAATTGTTATTTTAAATTACAATGTATCTGTTTTTCTTAGTGAACCTAAGACAGAAGCTTTTAGTTCAGAAGTGATTGCTTGAATAAGAAGAAAGCCTTTTGGACTCGTTTTATAAGGATCTACCGAGTGTTAACGCGTTTTGTCGGTGATTATTACGACTTATTTCACTTACATGCACCACAATCTCATGCATGTGTTCGTTATCTTTCTTAGTTGTATCCTTATTTGTTTATTACTCTTGAAAATTCTCTAATAATTGTATATATAGGACAAATAATATTTTTCGCTAAACAAAAAAAAAAATTCTCGTTTAAACATATAAAAGCTTAATTTATGTCATTAATATAGATAGTTTTGCTTATATATCATTCGGTGAAGTATATAATATTAAGGGTATGTCCATAGTCATAGATCCAAATTAAGTAACAACATTTTGTTTTTGGACGTCACGTAGCAACATTTTAATTATTTACGAGAACTACTTATAATAAATTATAATATTTGAATACTACAACGTAACAAATATTTTTTAGCACTATAGAGGGTCCGATTGGTGACTCCGTTTGAAACGAGCGGTTGAAAGTTTTTGGGCGGTTGAATA